TTTTTCTATTTATCCTCCCAACCTTTCCGTAATTTTTCTTTTATTTACATTTTCTGCTATAGGTTGGATTCTTCCATCCTATGTCCGTGCTTTTTACGTTCCTAAGCCACGTACTTTATTTTGTATTCTGCTGATGGATAAAATTGAAGAAAAAAATATTTAAAGTTTATTTATACGAGCAATGTCGTATTGCACAGATAAGTAACGTGTTTGTGCCTCAGGAGAGTTTTTGTTTTGTAGAAGAGCTCTGCGTTAAACCAGCAGTTGTATCTTCTGGAGATTTAATTCTTTCCTATTGTATGACAAGAACCACAGAAGTTGATCACACATTATTGAGAAAATGTTCTCATACATTCCAAATAATCAATTAATTTACAGAACGTTCTATGTTAATTGTTATATTAAAAAAAAGAAAAGTTAAATATCCTTTATCTTAAAGAAAAAAATCGTTTTAATACCGTTAAACTACCGTAAATACACGTTTGCCTGCAATCCGTACTTTGTCCTCATTGTTATTGTCACCAGTGGCACAATGTTTTGACCAGAAACCAGCTCAAAATGCAAACGTTGAACTATCATTGCCAACATAACTTTTGCTTCTAACATGGCAAAATTTTGACCGATACAATTTCGATTGCCAGCTGAAAATGGTAGGTAACAAAATGGATGAGCTAATTTTGGTTTAACACCATCTTCTTTTCTCATCCAACGTTTATAATCAAACTTTGTTGGATTTGGGAGTCACACGTAAATGAAGTAGTCAGAAGGGAAGAGATATAGCAAAAGTAATAATAATATCGGCTAACGTCGAAAGATCTTGACAACGTACTGGAAAATATGATAAGAAGGAGAGGAGGAACCAATCAATAAATCCTACTCAAAATCTTAAACATTTTTAAAACTATCTTAGTTGAATCTTGATGAGGTAATTTGAGATCATATTTAAGATCTGAACAAGATTTGATGAGCCACCCTTCTATTTTGCTTCCTTGGAAAAATATAACTGAATTTTACGTTTACAGTTTTATTTCAAAATTTGATCATACTTGCTCTCTCTAAGAAGTTCATTAACTTTTCAGACAGTGTACAGTGCAAGTCAGAGTACAGGATCGGACGCTCTAAAATATGAAAATTTTCTTCGTTCTTCAAATCTATTTAGCTGTTATTTTTAATAGTGAAAGTCAGATATTCAAAGATTCTTAGGGAATCAAGAATGAATATCATTAAATACTATTAGGATCCTGATAGATTCTTGCCCAATCCTGAAAAAAGTCAAATAAAAGAACATATATCCAAGTGACGTTGTCATTGATGAACGGCCCTTTGTCCAATACTTCTCAGAGCGATGAACGCCGTAAATGTTAACTATAATTAATAACTATAATATAACTATAACAGGTACACGAATTTGGTTTCCTTCAGGTCCGATCAAATGTTCATGAATGCACTCGCGAACAACAGTTGGAGCGGGTGGATATAGACGTAATGTCTCCTGCAGAACAGCCTCGATCACATGCAGCTCACTTAATTGACTGTAATCCGGCGGTTGCCCTCGTAAAACTCGAGCAACCTCGTCTTTACAGTCTTGATACACATCAGGATGCGTCATCAGAATGTAAAAACACCAAACCAGCAAGTTTCCAGTTGTTTCGTGACCGGCAAGAACAAATGCCATTGCTTCATCTCTCACTTGTTGTTCGGTAAACGGATTCAGATCTTGATCTCTGGCCATTAATAGCAAATCGAGTAGATCATCACCCTGACATAAACTTTGACTTTTTTTCAATTTTCGATCACCAACTAATCGTTCGACAATAGCTGATATCTGGCCGACATTTTTATCCATAATTTGTTTTTTCAGTATAGGTAACTTGTGCAAAAGTGGTATTTGACTAATGGGCACTTCAAATGTACGATATTCAACGGCATGTAGGACAGCATCGATTGATTTCAACATAGTATCTTTTGCCTGAGCATCTGCACCGAAGGCTGACGACAGTATGATGGATAATGTTAATGAATTCAATTCTTTTTGTAGATTGACAGTACTCCCTAACATCATCTTTGACCACTGATCAATAGTATTTGTCGTCTGTTGAACCATGATCGAAGTCATTGATTGTAAGTTGACAAAATGAAATGCTGGGTTTAA